GAATTTCGGGAGAAATTATTTATTTAAATAATATATTAAAAAATTGCACTTTTTTTTCAATTTTTCACCCTAAATGCAGTTCGAATAAAATGGAAATTTTTAATGGGAAGAGAAAAAATACATTCATATATGTTTATGAAGGATATTCTTATAACGCGGATACCAAGAATCCCAATATTTATCGCTGTTGTGCGCGCCAAACCCACAAGTGTACAGCTACACTCCTTCATAGAAATGAACAATTTTTTATCCAAAAACCACACACTCACCCTAATAATCCACAATGTGCAGAAGTATTAAAATTAAAGTCGATGATGTTAAAGGAATGCAAAGAAAATCCTTGTATAAATAATAAGGACATTTTTGATAATATTTGCCGTCTAAACCCTGACGCAGCAGCGTATATTTCATACAATAGTATGAAATCTATCATGTCGAGAGAAAAGGCGAAATCAAGACCACCACGTCCTAAAACTGTACAAAGTGCGCATGAAATGCTTGAAAATTACGATGTGTTAAAAGACATTTATCAAGGATGTACAATATCAACTGAAAATAAGTACGCTCTGATCTTTTCAAACAGCGCATTACTAAGTGCATTAGAAAGTGCCAAAGAAATTTACATGGATGGTACCTTTTCCTTAAGTATTTAAGGCAAACAACTTATAATGTTAATATTTTTCAGGTAGAGAAAATTGTTTAATTTTTATCATTTCTGATCTCTTGACAGGTTGTACCACAAATTCCTGTTTTCCAACAGTTGTATACTGTACATATACGCTATAACGACACGGTATACCACTATTGATAGTTTTTGTTAAAGTTATCTCATACTATCACACTAAAAACTAATATCAATTTACAGGGGATCGCTACAGTTTTTGCTTTGTGCGAGTGCCGAACCTTGTCAATGTATAAAGCCATATGGAGAAAAATAGTATCTCTTGCTCCACGATTACAAGACAATTTAAAAACTGTAATGTGTGATTACGAAAAAGCTGCTATGGAGGGAATACGAGTACAATTCCCTGCAGTCACCATACATGACTGCTGGTTCCATTTTAATCAGGTACAGTATAATAATTAACGTTGCTCAAGTGTTTTTTTCCATAACTTACCTCATTAAAGTGCTCAGCGAAGAGTTAAATGGTCCTTTTCTTACTGTTTAGACTCTATTAAGAAAGTGGAGAAAGTTAGGATTACAATATACAGAAAAAAAGGTTCTCTCAATGGCGATGACTATGCCCCCAGCTCCACCCGATATGTTTCCACAAGCATTGAATCAAATACAGTTAGTCGCTGATCGGTTTGCTGCCACCTTTCCAAATGTGCTTCAATTTATGGTGTATCTACGCAGTGTGTGATTACCAATTGCTTCAAAGGTCAGCGTATATGGCTCTGCAGTGAGGACTAACAATATTGTTGAATCCTTCCATAATACTCTATCACAACGATTCCAAACAACGCGACCAAATTTATGGATTTTCTTAGGCTGGTTTTTACGCTTTTGTCATTTGTGTAATTGTTTTTATTTTGTTGTGTATTAACATTTTTCTAAAATTGTTTTACAGATAATTTATCAAAACTAATTAAAGATGAAACTATTAATTACGAACGTTTGATAAAAAATTTAAAAATTACTTGAATTCGTACTCGAGTGAATAGAGAGAAGAATGCTAAAATTAGATTAGCACAAGAAAATTTAGTCTCTGGGATTTTATCACTGGAACAATTTTTAAACATGTTCGATAGAGACTATGACCAACAGCGATATATGGACAATTTCTTACCAAGAGGTATGTTTCCATATTTCAATGATGCAGCATACAATTTTCACTTCGAGTAATATTTTTTTAATTTGCTTTTACACTGCGATGAAAATAATGCGATTGATGAAACGTTTAGTATAGGTAATATTGGGAAATAATTCTGTCCCAAAACTAACATGAACACTGTTCTTAAATTTTCGTTTAATTTTAACGAATTTCAGTGATTTATTAATCATTTTCAGAGAATAGATTGCCTTGTTACATCCAACATAATGAAGACCCTGTTCAAATAGAGAGCACATCAGTCAATGATATCGATAACGATGGTTCGTGTTTGTAATTATTCTTGTCATTAATCATATTTACTGTTCAACGCAACACTTACCATATACTATCTTTTATAGATGATGTTCTAACAATATCGTTGGATAGTATTAATACATGTACAGAAAGTGAAGGAATATGTACATATAATTCTGTAGAAGGTACGTTATGTCGTACATATTAATTTTTCCTTTCTTCTTGCTTCAAGCGAATTGAGAGTAAAATACTAGAAAAATTTGGAATTATATTAAGTTGTTTGTAGTGTTGCTATAGTCAACAATTAATAATTTATGCATATCATATTTTTTAGGAACTGACCTGTTTATAATACATGGTTCTGTTGAAAGTCAGTCTCCTCCACACTTACAAAATGGTGACAAAAAAAAAACAATGGAAGGTAAAGTTCTGATCATCGGTCTACCTTATTAATATTTTGATTATGTATTACAAAGTTACTAAATTTTATTAGGGCCTTATTTAATGTGTACTTATGCGTTTTAGGTGATGCTCCAACTTCCATTGACAAAACTACCAGTATTTGCACAAAGGATTTACAAAAATTACGTATAAGTGAAGATAATACGATAGAAGGTATAATACGATAAGAGGATAATACGATAAAACATTTTCAGACAATGTTTACATTTTTTGATACTAATTTATTAATTAAAATTGTTTTTTAAATACCGATGTTTGTGCAAGTGGTAATCAAATTAATGAACAGAATTTAATGGAAGGTATATTTTTTAACTTATTTTTACTATACTACATACCACAAAATATCATTTTGTTTTGTTGTCTATCAATTTAAAATTAAATTTCACAAATGTACATTATAATAAGTATATTTTGCAGCCGTTTAATTTCGATTTATTCTTTTTGTATGTTATTAATTAGGAGAAAAGTCTGTAGAAAAGGTTTGCTGCTGTAAGGCTGGCGTGTCCACGATAGTACTGCCATGTGGTCACATTTATGTTTTAGTAAACAATAATAAATAATTCATACTATCCAACTGAAAGCATTTTTTTCATCTAGTGCATTCATTGCATAATAATATTCTCATGATAATTATCTCTCTAGTTAACAAGTTAACTTTGAATTCCAATAAGATCATAAATATATACATCCCTATACTATAATCTGCATACCTATTGTTGATTAATTCTTTCTACTGCCGATGTAGGTGGAAAACCATAAATGGAATTACCATTTTTATTTCTTGTCACATTTCGCAAACAGTTATACATCGAATTTACTAACTTTTTAGTTTCTTCTATGGATATTTTATCCCATCCTTCTTGTCCACGCATACCACACTTAATATTGTTTGTTTAATTGTTTATGTAATAATTGATGTATATGTAATTTTGTCTGCTACGCGGGAATATGTGTGTGTGTGTGTGCGTGTGCGTGTGCGTGTGCGTGTGCGTGTGCGTGTGTGTGTGTGTGTGTGCAGCGCTGCAAGATCGGACGCGTTTGCAAAGAACAAATGAATTTCGGATATGCAAATATGTCGTACGGTCACGATGAAGAGGCGTTTTGCTGTGGTGCGCGTCAACGACGTTTATAATAATAATCTTGAGTTATAATTAAATAAAGTTCTATTATTCTTGATCATAAAGTACTTAAGAGTTCATTAGAGTGTTTATTTTTACTGTAAAAAATAATTTTTAGAAAAAAAATACACCGACTTCGAAATGCACTAAAAAGTATAAAATAATTTCTATTTCCTAAAGAAGTAATTTCTATTTCATTCAATCATACAATTACGTAACAG